TCATTCCGAGATCTGATAATTCAGAAAAAGTTGTGCAGCAATGTGTGTTAAGATATATAATAAGATCCCCAATGACATTAAAAACCTTAAAATGAATTTATTTAAATCGAGACTATATAGGTGGCTTATTGAACTAAAAGTGTACGACATTAAAGAGTTTATTGACCTTAGGCTTTAATAATTATTGATTTGTTAATATTAATTTTATGAATGTATTTGACCATTTTTTTAAATAAATGTAACTTTAAATGTATATAACATAAACTTAAATTTGCATGCTAATTATAAGCAAAACATGTGTACTTATTTTACTGTACCACCTACAAATACCATGTTTTAAGCAAATAAAGAAATTATTATTATTATTATTAAAAGAGATGCAAAATCTCTTCGCAGCGCCTATGAGTTGAGCCGATCGGAAAGGACTCGGTCGTCGACTATTCAAGCCGCTCTGCGCTGGATGCGGTCAAGTGGAAGGAGCTGGCACTGGGGAGCCCCAGCCCAGAGATGGGAACAGTATTCTATGTGAGGCCGAACCTGCGCCTTGTAAAGTTACACGCTTTGTACCGGCATGAAATACTGTCCCGCTCTGCTGAGCACGCCAAGCTTTTTAGAGGCCAATTTGGCCTTCTCTTCCAAGTGACCACGAAACTGCACGTCACTCGATATGTCGACGCCGAGGATTCCGATACTGTACTGTACCTTGAAACTGAGGAGATACGACAAAAGGGTTCTTTTTAGCGGTAAACACGCAAACTTGTGTCTTCTGAGGATTAAACTGGACTAGATTTAGTCGCCCGCAATCCGAGACTTTGTCCACCAAAGACTCGACTTCAGATACAAATTTGTTCCGGTACTCGGCGACGTTTTCCCGAGAAATATTGGCACGGCCGGTGTATAGAGCATCACCAGTGCTGTCATTCGCATAGCAATGAATGCTACCGGTTTGCAACATATCATTGATATGCAGAAGAAACAGCGTTGGTGATAGCACGCAGCCTTGTGGAACACTAGCGTTAATAGGCTTGTAGTCGTAGCATGCACCGTCTACAACGACCTTGATGCTCCGATCTGCAAGAAAGCTGGTGATCCAATTGCATAATTTCTCGGGAAGCCCATAGGAAGGGAGCTTCGAAAGAAACGCTTTGTGCCAAACCCGATCGAAGGCCTTCGCAATGTCCAAACTAACGGCCAATGCTTCCCCCTTTGACTCTACTGCCTCCGCCCATCTATGAGTTAAGTAGACCAGAAGATCACCAGCTGATCGACCCCGACGAAAACCGTATATACCTATATATAGTATAGTAGTATGTATTAAAAAACAAAATGGTCACATTTTGTTGTTCTTTCACCGCTGGGGCTGAATGAATATAATATTATTTATTACAAGCACAATTTCTTGTAATCACCCGTATGGCAAAGTAGTATGACAAACATCAGAGTATTGACAAAAAATCTTCCAATTTTTTAAAAGCCTATGTCAAACCGCAGACTTAAGAAGGTTATGGATTTTAATGTATTCATGTAGGTTAGTCTGTTTCTTTGTGACTTCGCTTATTTCACGGTCTTGATCTTTGAAGTATCATAGGCTAAATTTTGAGCAGAAAATATCAATGGGATCGTGCGTGAATCCCAGTGAGCAGTAATGATGTCATATTATAATAATAAAACATTGCAGTCGGATGTTATAATATTTAATTTCTTGTTTATTTCTTACTTTTCACTCCGTGGCGTAGTGGCTTAGCGACGATTTAAAGCACTATGGACCGCTGGTTCGAATCTCGCACGGAACAAGTATTTCTACCGTCTTCAGGTAATTTTTTCGGGTACGGATGTTTGTCCTTGTGCAATTTATGTATGTGAACTACCTCCACGATACAGGATAAAATCCTAGTGTGGGGGTAAAGCTAAAAAAAATTAGAGATTGATACTCCCATGGCATTATAAATATACCCAATGGCTTTAGAATGTCTGTAACTTATTTTATCGAATATTCATACAAAAAAAAATCTTAATATTGTTTATTGACGAACTCAATTTTACTTTTGTCGTAACAAAAAAAAATCGAGAGAATCAAAACAAAGAAAGAAAATGAAAATTATCTTTCTACGTATTGAATACACAAAATATTCAGGTTTCAATCCTTCGTAGAAATACTCGCAAGATAAACTTACTTTGTACTTTTAACCATTAATAAATTGTTAGTTTGATAAGTTTTTCTCCTCATACCATCGCAGTTTTAAAATTGTGTTAGGAAACGTATGCATATTACTGGGTAAGGTCTACAAGTATAAGTATGTGTATATTTTTAAAGTTTTTTTTTTACTGTTTTAATTTTCTAATTTTCTACGTGGTAGAGCCATGCTGCAGCTATATTATGGTTGTAGCACGAATGGGTCGGCTCGACCGGGGAAGTACCACGCTCTCACAGAAAACCAGCGTAAAATAGCAGCTTAACGCTGCTGTGTTTCGTATGGTGAGTGTAGAGAACCGGAGACCCTTTTTACCGGCAAAGGGGCATTCCATCTTAGTCCTCATGGGTGACAACGCATCTGCATCTTGAGTCTTTATTGAGGATAGATGTAGATGTCTATGGGTCACAGTAACCACTTACCATCAGGTGGACTGGGTGCTCGTTTGTTATCCGATCCTATAAAAAAAAATAGTGTTTAAAAACGTATACTAGCCAAGATCCAGTAGAATGTGCATGTTATATTTATTTTTTTAATATTATTTATTGACCGTATAGTGGTGGTGTTGCAATATCTCGTATCGTCTCGTGGTGTTGTAAGAGGTGACAGAGATTCAATGAAACAGGAGATGGGCAGCAGCATCTTCCTAATAACAACTAAAAAATAAATAAACGCGGTTGGCAACCCACCTGCAAGCGTGGCAACTATGACAAATCCTATCTATATATAAAACAATCTACATGGAGGCCTCAGTTCAGGAAAGTACTTTTGATATGCAGTAACGGTAATTACAGTGTGCTTTAATCAGATATACGAGCACGGTTATATTGATTATGAAATATTATTTTACTCATTATGAAAAACATTTTTTAAGAAAAGTCTTTTTTTTCATAACAAGTAAAAATAAAATGCAAAAACCCGGAATCAATGCGTCTTTTCATTCGGTTTTTCTGTTGAACAGATTTTCATTAGAAGGTTTTCAACGAAGCATTGATAAAATCAATGCACCAATGAAAAATCTTACTGTAGTTTTCCTTCCAACATTTACACGAGGATTTCACGTAAATGTTCATGATTGCTCTACGTTGGTAGTCGCCAATTTTTATTTTACTTTACTTATTTAATGCGTAATAGGTACCTTTTAAGATCTTTTTATTTTGACTTCAAATACCCGTAATAGTTCACGGAAAGACATGAGCCAGTCTCGTTGTAGAAAAGAATTGACTTAATCGTGACTCCTAGCCTGCAGATTCACGATCGCACTGGAAGATTTATCGCACCTTTGTTACTGCAGACTGTCGAGCCGACCAAGGTCGACGGTCCAAGGTAAACGAGATAGTTTTACCACCATTTATCAAAAGCCACCGTAGTTCTCTAGCATTTTCTATAGTCATCTTCATATATTTCCTAACAAACCCTCTGGAAGAAAAGGTGTATAATTAATAGAATCAGGCGTTACTTTGCGGAAATCCATTATATAAAAGCTTTTTAAAAAAAAAATTACTTCGCAAACATTCGCTCCATAAAATAAAATGATGTGTTTTACCTAGTATGAAGAGCACCTCCCGCCCTCCCTCCATTGCGTGCACTATCCTCGTCACCACTAATCCCAGCACCACTACTCCCAACACCACTACACTAGAAAAGACACACCACTGACGACAATACGGCACGTGTTAAGTGAGCGGTGAGTGGCTCACCGTTCACTTAACGGCCAGCCACCGTAGAGTCTACATCACCTGAGGATGCCTCGTGTAGAGGCGAAAGACCTCGTGTACAGACGAGAAACTGAATATTCGACGTAACTACTAAATCTCGAAGAGTAGATAGATTTTGAACACTGTGTGTGTTTTGTTTTCCTACCGACTTCAAAAAGGAGCCGGTAGTCAATTCGACTGTATGTTTTTTTTATGTATGTTACCGAATAACTTTTTACTGGGTAAACCGATTTTGATGATTCTTTTTATTTGAAAGCTTGTGCTTCACATGTGGTCCCATATAAATTTGATCACGGTCTGACCAATAGTTTTTGAGTTATTCTTAATAATTTATGTCTATTGAAGTTGGCTGAACAAAATTTTTAAGTTTAAATTATTGTAAAATAAGGGTGCCAAACGAGCGCACATAGCACCTTATGGTGCAGGTTGCAGTGGCCTATTGACACCTAAATCTATCCTCGATTAAGAATCAAAATGTGGATTTAATGTCGCTCCTGAGGACTAAAATGGAATACTTCGTCCCCAGTTAAAAGTGTCTCCAGTTCCCTACGCTCACCGTTCTTTATAAAGCAGCATTAATCAGCTATTTCACGCTGGTATTCCGTGTGTGCATCGTTCCCCGGTCGGGCTAACCTATTCCTACTACCACCATAATATTGTTACGAGCTTGGGGTTCGGGACAATTAAAAACTGCCGATTGAATTACCAAAATTGACACTTTAATTACACGACACTAATTACAATCTAAAATCACACTAATAATAAAACACAGTTCGCCGTTATTTCGCTTCGAAGTATTCTCTTGTATCGCCAATTCAATACTGCCCCGGTCGTGGTCTATACCGGCCTTATATAGGGCCTCAGATAGTTTCCAGAACCTTCTACTGTAGCGACATCTAGAATGTTCGAGTACATATCGGTCCTGAAATTTCTGGAAGGATCTCGACTCTCCTAGTTCTGCTACTCGACACTAGAGGGCGCTAGTGTAACTAGTGTTGCCATGTACAAGACATTAATAGTGGCGCGCAATACTTTCATTTACTCGACACTAGAGGGCGCTAGTGTAACTAGTGTTGCCATGTACAAGATATTAATAGTGGCGCGCAACACTGCCCCCTCCTAAGACATGCTCGTCCCGAGCATTATTGGCCCCATAATAACGCGCCAGTCGATCCACATGGACAATCTTAGGAGTACCTCTGGCACCTTTCTGTATCCGGTAGGTTACATCATTGATCCTTGTCACAATCCGGTACGGTCGGTCCCATTTAGCTTGAAGCTTAGGAGATTTCCCTTTGCTGCGAACTGGATTGGGTAACCACACTAGTGAACCTTCATCAAACCCCTTGTTGTTCATTTTGCGGTCATACCGTGTTTTCATCTTCTCAGACGTTTGCTGGCCCGTCTGTCTGACGTGCTCATAAATGTCATTCATTTTGTTCCGCAAGTCATTTGCATAATCGGTTATACTGCGTGGGGCATCAGGTGGTATTCCGGTGATCAGGTCTGCAGGCAGCCGCAATTCTCTCCCAAAGTTTGCGAAAGCTGGTGTCACTGATGTACTTTCGTGAACAGCGCTTCGATATGACAACAAAAAGGGTTGTGAAATGTGCCTGTCCCAGTCTCGTTGACGTTTTTCCACAACTTTTGCTAGGTACCTCTCCAATGTCTGATTAAATCTTTCTACCATTCCATCAGATTGTGGGTGGTAAGAAGTTGTTCGTGTTTTCTGAGTACCCATAACTCGGCAAGTTTCCTGGAATATTTGAGACTCAAAATTCCTTCCTTGATCGCTCTGAATCTCTAAAGGTACTCCATAACGACAGAAGACTTCATGAACTAGTTTATCTGCAACTGTTGAAGCTTCTTGATTTGGAATGGCGAAGACTTCTGGCCACTTAGTGAAGTAATCCATCACTACCATGAAATACTTGTTACCACTTTCAGTTTCTGGAAACGGCCCCGCAACGTCAATGGCTATCCTCTCCCATGGTGCACCAACATTGTACAATTTCCATGCGCCTCTACTACGAATTTGAGGTCCCTTTACAGCCGCACAACTTGTACATTTGCGGCACCAGTCCTCGACATCGTCACGACAGTGGACCCAGTAAAACCGTTCTCGGATCTTCAGGAGAGTTCGCTTAACTCCCAGGTGGCCTCCTGAACAACCACTATGGTACAGCTGTAGGACATCCGGTACTTTAGCCTTAGGGACAACCATTTGCAAATGACACCTGTCTCCCCGACCATTTTCCCATTTACGGCACAGGACTCCATCCTGAATCAGCAAGCTGTCCCATTGGGCCCAATAGCTTTTCGTGGTCTAACTCATTGCTGAGACGTCGCTCCACTTGGGCTTAGGAGCACTGGCCTTCATCCATTCCAGAATCGGCTTAATGTCCGAATCTTCCTGCTGTGCATGTTGTAGGCTGTCCTTCCATTCATTGCTGAGCTGGTCCGTCCTGAATATCCTCGCAGATACCACTTCTTTACCCTCTTGTCTAGTACAATGCTTGCAATCTTCAGGGCAAGGTCTTCTTGATAATGCATCTGCATTGCCATGAGATTTCCCGCTGTGATGTTCGATCACAAAGTCGTATTCCTGTAGTAGTTCAATCCATCTCGCAACTTGTCCTTCAGGATTTTTGAACTGCAATAGCCATTTCAGTGCAGTATGGTCAGTTCGTAAGTAGAATTTCCGCCCCAGGAGATATTTGCTAAAATGCTGCAAGGACTTTACCACAGCAAGCAATTCCCGTCTTGTGGCACAATAGTTCCTTTCCGGCTTTGACAACGACTTGCTGAAGTACGCTATCACAATCTCTTGATCACCATTCCGTTGAGACAACACACCGCCAAGTCCTATATCACTTGCGTCTGTGTTAACTATGAATTCCTTGCCCGCATCAGGGTACCCCAAAATAGGTGTTTTGCACAGACGGTTTTTGAGCTCCTGGAATGCAATATCGCAACTTTCATCCCAGCAGAAATGTCGCTTCTCCTCGGTTAGCTTGTGCAGAGGTTTGGCTATATCTGCAAAGTTCTTCACAAATCACCGATAATAAGAGCACAAACCCAAAAATGCTCTAACCTGTGTCTTGTCTTTTGGGACCGGCCACTCCTTGACAGCAGCAATTTTCTCTGGATCCGTGCGGATACCTTCTTCCGACACTACATACCCCAAAAAACTAACTTGCCGTTTGAATAGTGAGCACTTCTTTGGACTCAACTTGAGGTTGGCACTCTGGATCTTCATGAGCACGCGTTCCAGGTTTTGAAGGTGTTCCTCAAACGTACGGCCTACGATGATGATGTCATCCAAATAGACCAGACAAGCATCTCCAATTAGCCCGGTAAGTAAAAGCTCCATCAACCTTTCAAACGTTGCTGGAGCATTGCACAATCCAAACGGCATGACTTTGAATTGCCACAGACCCTTTCCTGTGGAGAATGCAGTTTTCTCCTTGTCCTTAGGGTCAATTTCAACCTGCCAGTAGCCACTTTTCAGATCTAGCGTACTAAACCACTTTACGCCTGTAAGCATGTCCAGCGTGTCATCAATTCTTGGCAAGGGATAGCTGTCCTTCTTTGTAACGTCGTTCAGGCGGCGATAGTCAACACAAAACCGCATGCTGCCGTCCTTCTTCTTTACCAGCACCACAGGTGAACACCATGGACTAGATGAAGGTTCAATAACACCATCCTTCACCATTCCCTCAATCATGGTTTCCACTTCCTTTTCACGTGCTACAGGCAATCTTCTTGGCCGCTGACGAATAGGCAATTCTTGTCCTGTGTTTATTTTGTGTTGAACTAAGCCAGTCTTTCCTATGTCAGCTTCGTTTGATGAGAAAACATTGGCGTACTTGAGTAACAACTTCTTCGCCTTGACCATTTCATTCGGGGAAAGAACGCTGCGACAGTCTTCTAAAAGTATGGTCACTATCGTTTGTCCATCCTTGCTGGGGGTCCCGGTCGATAGATATTCGCATCGACGCAACCAATCCACTTCCTCACTAGTACCAACCAATGTGCCTTTTTCTATAATCTGTTCCTGATCACAAAGGTTCAACACACGTACTCCTGAGATGTCGGTGGTTCTGACCAAGGTTCGAGCCACTTTCCATGGAAGGTCATTGTCTACCCTTTCCACGAGTACACAACGATGAGCTTGCCCAGGACTCCGAGGAAGACTAACCGGCACAATCGTTTCCGATCTCGGCGGAAGAACAATCTTCTTAAGGCTGTACACATTCCCTGGTAACGCCCCTTCCACGAAAAGTTCTTCATGTCCACATTTCAAAACACCTTGCTTAACGTCGATCTCACAACAATTCTTCCTCATAAAGTCTAGGCCCAGGATGCAGTCGTCCATTATATCAGCCACGATGACATTATGCAGGTAGATCATGTTGCCTAGCTTCAACTCCATCTCCTTCTCTCCACGGACGGGTATGCGCTGACCGGTGGCTGTCACCAAATTAATGCGTTCTCGGTTGTATGCGGAGTCCCCAAGGAACCGACTTATAAGTTGGGAACTGACAACCGTGCGAGAGGCTCCAGTGTCTATGGTCAGTTTACACGGCGTTCCGTTGACTTCGCCCTTGATGATTAGGCTGTTCCCATCATGGGTTTGTGAGATCGAAATCCTTGGGGCTCTTTTAACATCAGCCAGCACCCGCCCCGCAGTCCTGGCTTTTACTCGTTTCCCTGTTGCTGCTGGGCGGTGCTATTACTACCCTCTCGAGATCGATCACCTTCCCTTTCTACAGTTTGTTTAGGGCAGCTGGATCGAAGATGGCCCCTTTCCCCACAGCCGTAGCACCTAGGGTTGTAGCCCTTATTGCGGTCCTGAACTGTAGCTGCTGCAACCTCCCTGACGCGGTGGGAACGATGATCCTGCCGCACGGCTTCCACCTCCAGTGCATGGGTCAGGGCGTCCTTAAGCGTCTCGTGGTGCCCGAGCCTCACAGCAGCTCTGACTTTAAGGTCGCGGATGCCGTCGATGAAAGTCTGCACCAGGTTCCCTACAATGAGCACAGGTACAGACTGGTACGCTTTTCGAACCAGCTTCTCCACCTCAAGGGCCCACTGCTGCAGGTTTTCGTTACTGCGTTGCACGCGATCTTTGAGCTGCGCACGAAAGACGTGTTCCAGGTGAGCATCGCCATATCTCGCCTCCAATGCCTCAAGGAGCTGCTCGTAAGTCACTTCCTTACCGAGCGCTTCCAAAACAGTTAAGGCCTGGTCGCGTAGGCCTAGGGTGAGAGCAGTCATGGCCTGACTTTTATTCCAGCCGTTTGCTTTCATGACAGCCTCGAACTGGATTTTGTAGGCCGACCAGGAAGAACTCCCGTCGAACGGCGGCACTTTGAATCCACGTAGCGAAGGTGTTGTAGCTACCACGGGAGCTGTGATTCCATCCCCAAGTTTGAGGTCATCCAGCGTTTTCTTCACATCAGCCATCACGTTGTCAACCCGATTGTTCACTTGGTCGAGCAACCCTATCCTTCACCTCCTTTATCTCTTTCCCGAAGGTAGCGTGAAGGTCCTTCCTGAGGAGCATCTGTTCTTCCATACCGCGCTGCAGCTGCTCTTCCAGCCGACGGGTCTGTTCCTCTTGTCGACGGGCCTGTTCCTCCTGTCGGCGGGCCTGTTCCTCCTGTCGGCGGGCCTGTTCCTCCTGTCGGCGGGCCTGTTCCTCCTGTCGGCGAGCCTGATCCTGCAACATCATCATCAGAGCACCTAAGTCAGGTGCTGCAGATGCAGGAGCTGCTGACGGGCCAGCCTCCGTGGTTAGCAACTGGCCCTCCGACGTTTGCGGCGTTGCATTACCAAATCGTCTCTGGTCCGTCTCCTGTTGGCGTTGACTTCGGGTACGGATACCCTCCGTGTCGTCTTTAGGTAAAATCGGCATATTTGATCCCACTTCTGACACCAATTGTTACGAGCTTGGGGTTCGGGACAATTAAAAACTGCCGATTGAATTACCAAAATTGACACTTTAATTACACGACACTAATTACAATCTAAAATCACACTAACAATAAAACACAGTTCGCCGTTATTTCGCTTCGAAGTATTCTCTTGTATCGCCAATTCAATACTGCCCCGGTCGTGGTCTATACCGGCCTTATATAGGGCCTCAGATAGTTTCCAGAACCTTCTACTGTAGCGACATCTAGAATGTTCGAGTACATATCGGTCCCGAAATTTCTGGAAGGATCTCGACTCTCCTAGTTCTGCTACTCGAAACTAGAGGGCGCTAGTGTAACTAGTGTTGCCATGTACAAGACATTAATAGTGGCGCGCAATACTTTCATTTACTCGACACTAGAGGGCGCTAGTGTAACTAGTGTTGCCATGTACAAGATATTAATAGTGGCGCGCAACACTATTATACCTGCAGCTTGCCTCTGCCACGTACACTTTTTGTTTTATTATTTTTTTGTATACTTCTATTTTTACTTACTTCTTCAAAAAGTATAAAACACACTCATGCACATTGACTGCCTCATTGGACTATATAACAATCAGGGCATAAAGAGTGCACCTGTGATTGTGCACACAATCGGACGCTGCTATGCGCAGATATTTAGAGAAACGGACACGCTTTTTATTGGAAATGACGCAATCCAGTTCATTCCAGTTCTCAGTCCTCACAGGTGACAATGCATCTGCATTTTAATTCGTAATCGAGGATACATGTAAATGTCCATGGGCCACAGCAACCACTTACGATCAGATGGAGTGTGCGCTCGCCTGTCACCCCTATCCTATAAAAAATAAGATATTTGGCATCCGTTGAGACAGGCCACCGTGATTTAAAAAATTGGGTCTATAAAACATTAAAAAAATTCATACATTAACTGTTCATTAATGTATTAATTTATTACAGTCTATTAAAGTTGTGAACTTGATGCTGTACATAGACCTGCTTATAAATACTAGAATTGTAAATTCACTCGTTGTAAATAAAAGGAAAGCAAAGTATATTTTGCTCAATGCTTACCACGTTTAATAAAAATTCTAGAGATAAATTTCACTTATCACAAAACTTTAATCTATGTAGTAAAAGAAACTTTCATCTTTGTATTAAAGGAACGTAATTTTGTTTAAAAAAACAGTCTGGAACTTTTACTGCAAGAAAAATGAAGACATAAGAAATGACGAGTTAATATTTCGCTGAGTAGTTTACTCAAACTACCGAATTCAGTGATT